GGGGCGCGCGTCGCCCCTCCCGTCTTCGTCGCGGCCCTGCCCAACTGCCGCCCCTGCTGATGCCCTGCCCTGTGTTGGGGTTTGGGGGTGGCGAGTGTGGGGGTGACGAATGTGAGTGGTCTCCCCTACTCCTCCTCCTCCTCCGTCTCCCACTGCTGCAGCTGCCGCTGAGGGGGGTGGGTGTGTGGGAGCCGATGGAGTGGTGCTAGGGGGTGGAGTATGAGTAGTGCTAGAGGTGCAGCAGGGGGTGTGTGCAAGGGGGGTGAGACAGTTAGAGGATGTTGGGCGGAGGCAGCTGTCGTGTCGCCAGCAGCGCCAGTAGTCCGGAGGCTACAATCTCCGGTAGCCCAGCGAGCCTGCTGCGCCAGTCGCCCGTGGGTCCGTTGCTCCTGCAGCTCAGAGTTAGTCGCAGAGCTAGTTACTCCAGTAGTCCGGAGGCTACAATCTCCGGTAGCCACAGTGCGCGCCGCTCCTGTTGCCCGTGTGTCTGCAGCTTCACCTGTCGTCTCCTATCTCTTCTCCTCTCACAGTCCCTCCTCCTCCTCACTTACCATCTGTGACTGCCTCTAGCTTTGCTTATATTTGTGAACTATAAACTGCTACTTCTTGTACTTGTGCTCAGAATGTGTGGTGACTTTGTGATCCACCCTGAGCTTGTTTTGCTTTGCTTGTTGTGCTGATTACACCCCACTTTGGCTATGGGGGTGTGTCAGAATGTTATGTTTTGTCTAGCCTGCAGTGGGGTACTCAATAGTGAGTACAGCCCAATTTAGGTTTTGCTATATGTACTCAACTGCTTGCTAGTGAAACCCCTCTTTCCTCTTTCTCATTTCTAACTTCCTTTGGTTTCTAACAAGCTATGGCGGGAGGGGCGAGAGAGGCTCCAGACATGTGGTCGAACACGAAGCGCTGTCTCTAGAATCGCTCAGTAGGTACAGCTGTAAGTCGTCGAGCCATGTATCGAGCTGGATCGAACGGCCCTCATGATCGAAGATGAGAACACTGAGAGAAGCCATAGCGGGCAGAGCAGGGTGGCGCGCGACCAGCAGGGCAGCACGCAGGCAGGGCGGCGCGCGAGCACTAGGGAAGCGCACAGGGCAGGGCGGGGCGGCGCACGGCTAGTGAAGAGCGGCGTGCGGCCAGGGCAGGGCAGTGCAAATGGCAGGGCAGGGCAGCGGCCAGCAGGGCGGCGAGCGGGCAGGGCAGGGCGACGCACAGGCAGAGCAGGGCGGCGCGGCGGCAAGCAGGGCGGCGCGCGGGCAGGGCAAGGCGACGCGGCGGCCAGCAGGGCGACGCGTCAGGCAGGGGAGGGCGGCGCGCCACCAGCAGGGAGGCGCGACGGGCAGGGCAGGGCAGCGCTCGGCCTGCAGGGCGGCGCGATGGGCAGGGCAGGGCAGCGTGCAGCCAGCAGGGCGGCGTGACGGGCAGGGCAGGGCAGTGCTACGAGCAGGGAATTATGCGGTGGGCCCTAAAAAAAACAGTCCTGGAACAGGACCTGCTCTGAAACCATCTCAAGAAACTGAACGAGAATGAATGCATTGAGCAGAAAATTGGTACAAGTATTAACCCTAATTGGGTTGTACCCCTTATGGGCTACCCCACTACAACCTACACAATATGAGCATTAGAACATTTTGACAAATTTAACATACCCATCAACGGTCAAACTATTCAGCAGCTTCACCTGTCACAGGTCTCCAGGTCCCAATCCTAGATCACGAATCTAGAATCTGCAGGCTGCTCATCTGTGCGAAGTTGAAACGAATAAACTGCTGCAGCTCTTGTGAACTTGTAGAACGAGGAGAAAGGATAGCTGAGTGAGGGTATCAGGGAGACATGTGAGAGCTGGGCAGTTAAGCAGGCCCAGCTTGCGCAATCTGGAAAGTGCTCCGATTGCATCAGGAAGAGAGCGCAGCCTGGGAGCATCTATCTTCAGGTATGTTAGCTTCTGAAGCGCTGCACTAGTGGCTGGGATTTCCGTCAATTCAGGCAAGTGTAGCTCCAGCCGACGCAGCTCCTGTAAAGAGGAGCTGGAAAAGCCCGGAAGCCGCATGACTCCAGTGCTTCCTAGTGCCAGCGTGCGGAGGCAAGGAAGGTCAGTCAATGTGAATGGAAACTCCTCCTCAGAAAATGCCACCACCATACGCAAATGCTCCAATGAGGTGAGGCAGCTGGAGAATGCATATGGACGTATCACCCTGATCATGCTCGCTCTTTTTAGGCTTGGAAGCGTGTAATCAACTGGTACGCGGATGAACTGATCAGAACTCCCCAAGCTTAGGATTTCCAGCGAGCGCGGCAAGCGTTCAGGAGCGTTTTCCAGCTTCTCACATCCGGTCAGCTCCAACTGCTTCAGCCTCGTCAGACGGGTCAAAATCCGTGGCACTATGGAGAGGCTACTGCAACTCTCAACCAAACCACGAGGGTTTCTAGCTTCACGAGCGCTGAAACAGACTGGGGAAGTGTCTCAATCAGTGGACAGGACGCGATGTACAGCTCACGCAGGCGTGTCACCTCAGGCAGCTGAGCTAGCTCGCACTCCTGCAACTCAAGCCGTGTTATTGATAACAATGCGGTGAATGAGGAAGGCAGCAGATGACGTGCGCGGTACTGCTTCAGGTACAAGGTTTCGAGGTTGGAGAGTTCTCCAAGATCGTCAGGAAGAGTGAGCAAGGGAGTATCAGCGAGGCAAAGGGTCTTGAGTGCTGTGAGCGCACCCAATGGGTCTAGTAAGTCGACTAGCGATGCACACTCAGCAACAACCAGCGTCTCTAAGGATTGAAGCCTGCTGCAGGAGTCAGGGAAGTTGATATCGAGCTTGTGCAGCACGAGCACTTTCAGTTGGGGCATGTCACCGAAACTGTCAGGCAGTCCAGGGAATCTGCAGTCAGAGAGCTTCAAGCTGCGCAGGCAGCTTAAGGAAGTGACATGCTCGGGTCGTTCCGAAAAAGGTTTGCACTTGCTGATGCTCAGCTCCCGCAGACACGGAAGCCTATCGTTGATGTCCTCCGGGAGGTTCTCAAACTGGTCGCACTGGCAGAGCGTGAGGCGTTCAAGGAGGCTGCATCGCGCGTCTGGAGGGAACAAGAAATCGAGGTGCGCACTGCCCCACATCAGATCTAGCGACTTCAGTGACGATTATTGCGCGAAAGAGAAGAGAGAGACTTCTTTCACATAACTGGAGAGCATTTTCGGCAAGGAAAGAACCGTGAGGCTTGGGAGCCGAATGAGGCGGTCCAGGTCCAGGTAATCCATAACGTCTGTGTTTACGGCGAGAGCCGTGAGTGAGGAGAAGGCGCGCACTTTTCGGTTCGTTAACACTGACAGATCGGCGATCGCGAGAGATCGGAGATGCACGAGCTGGAAGATCGAAGGTGGTAGCCTGAAGTGCTCATCGAGGCAGCCCAGCGACAGATGCTCCAGTCGCGTGCACCGGCGGAAGAGAACGTCCAAGCCCGATTGCGACAGATGATCCTGCGTCTCGCCGTAGTACCGGCACTGCTGAATCCATTTCTGCACAATCCTTTCCCCGAGGTGGAAGGCTGTCAGCTGAGGGCAGCAGGTAGTGAGGCAAACGAAGAAGGTGTCGTCCACGCTTTCCACGCTGCCGTCGCTGAGATGTAGGTGCGTGAGGCTGGGGAAACACGCCACAGCCGCGCCGAGATCCGCGCAGGAAACGGCGTGGTTTTCCTTGACGAGGAGCGTGGTGAGGTGGCTCTGCGCCAGGCGACGCCAGCGACGGCAGGTGGACGCGAGAAGCAGGTTGTAAGCGGCGTCCGCGAAAGCTGCGGGAAGAGAAGCACTTGGAAAGACGGTGTCGCTCATTTGGTAGCATGGCTCCTCTGCGTTTTTGCGAATGAGCCTCGGGGAAGGCTGCACGGAGGAGAGAAGAGAGTAATTTTGGAGGCCAGAGGATACTAACTAGCAAGTCGTCGGAAAGCCTATCTATGGGCGGACACTCCATGGTAGTTCCGGTGCTATGAACAATGGCTTAGGAAGGATGACTTGAGATAGATATAGCAGATCTTGCTGATCTCTGCTCTGTCTCATGAATCAAGATTGGGCTCTTCTGCCATGGCTGCTCACTTGGGCTGTGCTCTGGCTTGGGCTCTCCAACAGGGAAGATTGGATTGGATGGCAACTTGATTCCGGTGCTGTGCTACGGAGGGGTTCGGTTCGGTTCGGGTGTTCCTAAATGTGGATAGATGGTCAGATCTAACAGAGCAGCCAATTTGAGTACGGTTACACTATTCGCAGTGTGGCGGAAAGGCATGCAGAGGTTTAGGAAAGTCACTATCCTTCACTTCTTTTAGGACCCTTCGATTTGACTAAAGAGTTCCAAATGCTCACCATTGTTGGTACCTGGAGATTGGCTGTTCAAGCGACACGATGCTCTAGTAGCGCACGCGGTGTCCATGGTACGCGCACGTGGCGGTACATGGTTAGGCGAGCGCGTGGCGAAGGGGGACCACAGCTGAATGTAAAAGAGTTGGCGAAAGAATCTCTCCAGGCGGGAGGAGAGAGGCTCGGGGAAGATCTGCTGTGAATAACCACTTCGGAGGAATGCTGGCAACACTTGACAGTGAACATTTCTCATCTATTTTAGTTTCTGAGCAGCGCTTTCACGTCCAGCTTGAATTCTACCGAGGTCGGTATAATGAGTACGGGCTCATGAAGATCTGAACCACGTGTCACCGAGTCGGGCATCCCCATAGCTGGCCCGTGCATTCGTGGATGAGTCCCGCGAGGCTGAAGGCAACTACAGTATTTCTTGCGCGTCAGTCAAATGCGGCGTCGCGGGCGGGTACATCGCGCCGCGTCCACTCGCCGAACATCGCTCCTGATGAAATCAAACGCGAGTCGGAGGCATCGGGGCTGCATGAGATGCGGCGCGAACTCGCAGGAGATGCGGCAGCGAAGGCGCAGGAATTCCTCCAGCGGCAGAATCGCGCGAAGGCCCTATGAGCGCCCGAAAAGCTGGTCCTCTTATTCCCCTGTGAATGTCCTCGTGCTCTCTGGCTAAGCGTGTTGGCTGTCCTTCCAGCATCGCGGTGACGCAGTTGTTGCGTTTCTCACCTCGTGATCTCACCTGGTACTACGAGAGCAGTCAGCCAGTCACTGAACGGAGCACGTGCAGTTACGAGTCCAGTAGCATAGGTCAGCATGGCGACCAGCACTCGCGCGCCCGAGAAGTCGCCCTCCCCGTCCCGCCCTGAAGAGGTACGGCGACCGCAACTCCTCCCTTCCGTTGCGCACCCCTTCACTCCCCATCCTCTCCGCCAGCCGTGATCCTGCGCAACCCCCCGAACCATCCCCCCTTGCTCTTCCCCTCCCCGCACTCTCCCCCCTTGCCGGGCGACACGCCTTCCATGGGGACTCCCGCCCGCGTTTTCACCCCCACGCTGCTGCAGTCCTCGCAGCAGCCCTCCATGGGGACTCGCGCCCGCTCTATTCCTGTCATCACGCGAACACTCACTGCTCCACTCCCTTTCCCGCTTTGCCACTCTCTTTTTTATTCTCTCTTTCCATTCTCCCTTTCCCCCCTACAGGTGCCGGGTGAAGCACCTTCCATGGTAACATCCGTGCTCGAGTCAACCGCCTCGCTGCTGCAGTTCTTCCAGCCTCTCAAGTCCCTGTGCCACCTCGTGAGCACGTGGCCTCAGATTGTGTCATCCTCTCCCCCTCGCCCCATGCCCCCACGCCCCTTCCGCCCACCGTTTTCCCCCAGGTGCCAGGCGAAGCCCCTTCCATGGCAACGTCTGCGCTCGAGACAACCACCTCTCTCCTGCAATCTTTCCGCCCACTAAAGTCCTTCTGCCAGCACGTGAGCACGTGGGCGCACTACGCGCAGAGCCCTGGGCGCATGATCGAGACGCACCACCTCGTGGCGCGGCTCACAGAAGACGTTCTTCAGTGTATCGTGTTTGACTCTGACCAGCCCAACGCTCGCATTGTTGGTGAGTGCTGCTGGTTTGTTCAGCTAGGTGGCTGGTGGCGCTACTCACAGAGGACGTGCTGCAGTGCATCGTCTTCGACAGTGACCGGGCCAATGCGAGCATTGCTGGTCTTTTGAGACGTCTCAAAAGCCAATGCGAGCATTGCTGGTCACTATCCAAGACGATGCACTCTCCTCTCCTCTCCTCTCTCCTGTCCTCTCTCCTGTCCTCTCCTCTCTCCACTCCTCTCCTGTCCTCTCCTCTCTCCTCTCCTCTCCTGTCCTCTCTCCTCTCCTCTCCTCTCCCCTCCCCTCCCCTCCCCTCCCCTACCCTACGCTCCCCTCCTCTCCTATCCTATCCCCTCTTTCTTCATGAAAAAGTTGAATGCTCTGTGTGTGTCGCCCCAACCCATCAGCCCCTTCACCCATCACCCGGCAGGTGTGGAGTACATCGTATCGGAGGCGGTGTTCAAGAAGCTTCCAGAGGAGGAGAAGTGCCTGTGGCACTCGCACTACTATGAGGTAAGTACTTTCGCATGCATGGCTGAAAATCATTGTTGATTGCTGATGCTTGTGATTGTTCTCAAAAGTTGGCTAACACGATAGCCATGGCTAGACATGGCGTGTGATTCTTCTCTTGTATTTGCATTCACCACCAACCTCTGGTTTCACGATGTTTACTGAGTCTCTTGCATATGCCATGCCATCCTCGCATGCCTCTTCCTCTCACTAGTCATGCAGCTTCCATTACTTATCCCCTCACATGCCTGTTTCCAACCCCGCTGCCCTGCGCTTGTTTTTAACCCATGAGCAGATCTGTGAGGCCGAGTGGATGAACCCCGCGGTGCAAGAATTTAAGTTCCTTTTATTTTACTCTCCTTTTCCGCTCTTCCCTGTCTCTCTTGCAGATATGTGAGGGCCTGTGGGTCAACCCGGGGGTGCCAGAGACCATGCAGCAGCAGGAGCTGAAGAAACTCGTGAAGACGTACGGAAAATTCTGGAATACCTGGCAGTTCGACAGGGGAGACCCCCTCCCCCTCGGCCCCCCTGCCCTCATGGTCTCCCCCCAAGACCACCCCTTGGGGCGCGTTCCTCGTGCTCTGGTGGAGGAAAGGGATGCGTCTTTGGGGATAGAGATGGGGGAGAAGCGGGAGCAGCGGGCGGCGCTAGTGGACAAGGAGTGGGCAGCGACGGGGAAGGACCGGGCGGCGGACTGGTGGATGGAGAGTGGCAAGGGGTGGGTGACTGAGATGAGGGCTGTTGAGCTGGAGAGCATGGGGATGGGGAAGGGGGCGGAGGAGAAAGGAGGGGTGCCGTCTGTGGCTATCGGGGGAGGGGAGGGGTTGGAGGGTAAGAGGGAGGAAGGGAAGGGTACAGCGATGGGTATGATGGGGAAGGGGGCAACCGAGGGAAGGGAGGGAACCAAAGAGGGTAAGATGCGGGGAATGGAGAAGGAGGGGATGGTGAAGATGGGAAAGGAGCGTGGGGTGGGGGAGGAGGAGTTTGTTTTAGCTGGCCGTCCGGCCCAGTCTTCCAAGATGGAGTGAGAACGAGAGTGGTTCACTTCGGTTCAGTTCGGTGCAGAGTGGTGTAATGCAATGAAGTGCTGATGTGGGCATGTGTAGTGTACATACCGGACCTGTCATTAGCTAGGAGCAGGGCAAGCTGTTGGCTTGAGCAAGTACGTGCGTTCGTGGCTTCACACATTGTTGCTGATCTGCTTGTTTGCTTGTACAAATAAAACCTTTTGAGACATTACATGGTGAACTGCTGTGTTGAGACGGCGACGCACATTGTGGACACAACACTCATTGAAACGGAAGTTAGAGCCTTGAAGTGCACTACTGTGTACCCTTAATACTGTTGGGCTGAGTGCCCCTTAGGATCTTTGGTAGGGTTAAACTTTGGGTAGAGTGATGTAGTAGCGGAAGCGTTTAAATGAGTGATGGACAGTGCGAGCGAATGGCATGATAGACGGTGCGAGCGAATGGCATGATAGACGGTGCGAGCGAATGGCATGATAGACGGTGCGAGCGAATGGCATGATAGACGGTGCGAGCGAATGGCATGATAGACGGTGCGAGCGAATGGCATGATAGACGGTGCGAGCGAATGGCATGATAGACGGTGCGAGCGAATGGCATGATAGACGGTGCGAGCGAATGGCATGATAGACGGTGCGAGCGAATGGCATGATAGACGGTGCGAGCGAATGGCATGATAGACGGTGCGAGCGAATGGCATGATAGACGGTGCGAGCGAATGGCATGATAGACGGTGCGAGCGAATGGCATGATAGACGGTGCGAGCGAATGGCATGATAGACGGTGCGAGCGAATGGCATGATAGACGGTGCGAGCGAATGGCATGATAGACGGTGCGAGCGAATGGCATGATAGACGGTGCGAGCGAATGGCATGATAGACGGTGCGAGCGAATGGCATGATAGACGGTGCGAGCGAATGGCATGATAGACGGTGCGAGCGAATGGCATGATAGACGGTGCGAGCGAATGGCATGATAGACGGTGCGAGCGAATGGCATGATAGACGGTGCGAGCGAATGGCATGATAGACGGTGCGAGCGAATGGCATGATAGACGGTGCGAGCGAATGGCATGATAGACGGTGCGAGCGAATGGCATGATAGACGGTGCGAGCGAATGGCATGATAGACGGTGCGAGCGAATGGCATGATAGACGGTGCGAGCGAATGGCATGATAGACGGTGCGAGCGAATGGCATGATAGACGGTGCGAGCGAATGGCATGATAGACGGTGCGAGCGAATGGCATGATAGACGGTGCGAGCGAATGGCATGATAGACGGTGCGAGCGAATGGCATGATAGACGGTGCGAGCGAATGGCATGATAGACGGTGCGAGCGAATGGCATGATAGACGGTGCGAGCGAATGGCATGATAGACGGTGCGAGCGAATGGCATGATAGACGGTGCGAGCGAATGGCATGATAGACGGTGCGAGCGAATGGCATGATAGACGGTGCGAGCGAATGGCATGATAGACGGTGCGAGCGAATGGCATGATAGACGGTGCGAGCGAATGGCATGATAGACGGTGCGAGCGAATGGCATGATAGACGGTGCGAGCGAATGGCATGATAGACGGTGCGAGCGAATGGCATGATAGACGGTGCGAGCGAATGGCATGATAGACGGTGCGAGCGAATGGCATGATAGACGGTGCGAGCGAATGGCATGATAGACGGTGCGAGCGAATGGCATGATAGACGGTGCGAGCGAATGGCATGATAGACGGTGCGAGCGAATGGCATGATAGACGGTGCGAGCGAATGGCATGATAGACGGTGCGAGCGAATGGCATGATAGACGGTGCGAGCGAATGGCATGATAGACGGTGCGAGCGAATGGCATGATAGACGGTGCGAGCGAATGGCATGATAGACGGTGCGAGCGAATGGCATGATAGACGGTGCGAGCGAATGGCATGATAGACGGTGCGAGCGAATGGCATGATAGACGGTGCGAGCGAATGGCATGATAGACGGTGCGAGCGAATGGCATGATAGACGGTGCGAGCGAATGGCATGATAGACGGTGCGAGCGAATGGCATGATAGACGGTGCGAGCGAATGGCATGATAGACGGTGCGAGCGAATGGCATGATAGACGGTGCGAGCGAATGGCATGATAGACGGTGCGAGCGAATGGCATGATAGACGGTGCGAGCGAATGGCATGATAGACGGTGCGAGCGAATGGCATGATAGACGGTGCGAGCGAATGGCATGATAGACGGTGCGAGCGAATGGCATGATAGACGGTGCGAGCGAATGGCATGATAGACGGTGCGAGCGAATGGCATGATAGACGGTGCGAGCGAATGGCATGATAGACGGTGCGAGCGAATGGCATGATAGACGGTGCGAGCGAATGGCATGATAGACGGTGCGAGCGAATGGCATGATAGACGGTGCGAGCGAATGGCATGATAGACGGTGCGAGCGAATGGCATGATAGACGGTGCGAGCGAATGGCATGATAGACGGTGCGAGCGAATGGCATGATAGACGGTGCGAGCGAATGGCATGATAGACGGTGCGAGCGAATGGCATGATAGACGGTGCGAGCGAATGGCATGATAGACGGTGCGAGCGAATGGCATGATAGACGGTGCGAGCGAATGGCATGATAGACGGTGCGAGCGAATGGCATGATAGACGGTGCGAGCGAATGGCATGATAGACGGTGCGAGCGAATGGCATGATAGACGGTGCGAGCGAATGGCATGATAGACGGTGCGAGCGAATGGCATGATAGACGGTGCGAGCGAATGGCATGATAGACGGTGCGAGCGAATGGCATGATAGACGGTGCGAGCGAATGGCATGATAGACGGTGCGAGCGAATGGCATGATAGACGGTGCGAGCGAATGGCATGATAGACGGTGCGAGCGAATGGCATGATAGACGGTGCGAGCGAATGGCATGATAGACGGTGCGAGCGAATGGCATGATAGACGGTGCGAGCGAATGGCATGATAGACGGTGCGAGCGAATGGCATGATAGACGGTGCGAGCGAATGGCATGATAGACGGTGCGAGCGAATGGCATGATAGACGGTGCGAGCGAATGGCATGATAGACGGTGCGAGCGAATGGCATGATAGACGGTGCGAGCGAATGGCATGATAGACGGTGCGAGCGAATGGCATGATAGACGGTGCGAGCGAATGGCATGATAGACGGTGCGAGCGAATGGCATGATAGACGGTGCGAGCGAATGGCATGATAGACGGTGCGAGCGAATGGCATGATAGACGGTGCGAGCGAATGGCATGATAGACGGTGCGAGCGAATGGCATGATAGACGGTGCGAGCGAATGGCATGATAGACGGTGCGAGCGAATGGCATGATAGACGGTGCGAGCGAATGGCATGATAGACGGTGCGAGCGAATGGCATGATAGACGGTGCGAGCGAATGGCATGATAGACGGTGCGAGCGAATGGCATGATAGACGGTGCGAGCGAATGGCATGATAGACGGTGCGAGCGAATGGCATGATAGACGGTGCGAGCGAATGGCATGATAGACGGTGCGAGCGAATGGCATGATAGACGGTGCGAGCGAATGGCATGATAGACGGTGCGAGCGAATGGCATGATAGACGGTGCGAGCGAATGGCATGATAGACGGTGCGAGCGAATGGCATGATAGACGGTGCGAGCGAATGGCATGATAGACGGTGCGAGCGAATGGCATGATAGACGGTGCGAGCGAATGGCATGATAGACGGTGCGAGCGAATGGCATGATAGACGGTGCGAGCGAATGGCATGATAGACGGTGCGAGCGAATGGCATGATAGACGGTGCGAGCGAATGGCATGATAGACGGTGCGAGCGAATGGCATGATAGACGGTGCGAGCGAATGGCATGATAGACGGTGCGAGCGAATGGCATGATAGACGGTGCGAGCGAATGGCATGATAGACGGTGCGAGCGAATGGCATGATAGACGGTGCGAGCGAATGGCATGATAGACGGTGCGAGCGAATGGCATGATAGACGGTGCGAGCGAATGGCATGATAGACGGTGCGAGCGAATGGCATGATAGACGGTGCGAGCGAATGGCATGATAGACGGTGCGAGCGAATGGCATGATAGACGGTGCGAGCGAATGGCATGATAGACGGTGCGAGCGAATGGCGTGATAGACGGTGCGAGCGAATGGCGTGATAGACGGTGCGAGCGAATGGCGTGATAGACGGTGCGAGCGAATGGCGTGATAGACGGTGCGAGCGAATGGCGTGATAGACGGTGCGAGCGAATGGCGTGATAGACGGTGCGAGCGAATGGCGTGATAGACGGTGCGAGCGAATGGCGTGATAGACGGTGCGAGCGAATGGCGTGATAGACGGTGCGAGCGAATGGCGTGATAGACGGTGCGAGCGAATGGCGTGATAGACGGTGCGAGCGAATGGCGTGATAGACGGTGCGAGCGAATGGCGTGATAGACGGTGCGAGCGAATGGCGTGATAGACGGTGCGAGCGAATGGCGTGATACTGTGCGAGCGGGATGGCGTGATAGACGGTGCGAGCGAATGGCGTGATAGACGGTGCGAGCGAATGGCGTGATAGACGGTGCGAGCGAATGGCGTGATAGACGGTGCGAGCGAATGGCGTGATAGACGGTGCGAGCGAATGGCGTGATAGACGGTGCGAGCGAATGGCGTGATAGACGGTGCGAGCGAATGGCGTGATAGACGGTGCGAGCGAATGGCGTGATAGACGGTGCGAGCGAATGGCGTGATAGACGGTGCGAGCGAATGGCGTGATAGACGGTGCGAGCGAATGGCGTGATAGACGGTGCGAGCGAATGGCGTGATAGACGGTGCGAGCGAATGGCGTGATAGACGGTGCGAGCGAATGGCGTGATAGACGGTGCGAGCGAATGGCGTGATAGACGGTGCGAGCGAATGGCGTGATAGACGGTGCGAGCGAATGGCGTGATAGACGGTGCGAGCGAATGGCGTGATAGACGGTGCGAGCGAATGGCGTGATA